CCTTCTGCCAGGCTGTTTACATACGGACGTAAAGTTTCACAAATGAACTCACAGCCAAATGGTGGTTAGCAGTTAGCACGGACAAAAAAAAGGAAACTTCCTGAAGACGGTGATGATTTTTTCATTCTCCAGTTACTGCGTTTTATTTTCAATGGTGATGATTTTTTCTCCAGTTACTGCGTTTAATTTTCAAAAGATTGGTTTAAAAGAGAACCACTAGGATTCCAGTTCTGATCATTTTGACATTTAATGTTTTCTTTTGATGTTTTCCGCTCAGATCATCAGTTGCTCATGGTCTCTCCACATCACACGTCCTCTTCCAGGCGTCCCAGCTTGTCTCCTGTCACCCGTCCACCCTGACTCTCTCGTCTCTGAGAACAAGTCTGTTTAAAGCTCTCCAACCACCTGCAGGTTCTCGTCGCCTCATCCTCTGCTCCGACCTCATCCTGTGCACAGCGGCCACTTGATGTCCTTTATTTAGGACAAATCAAAGCCTCTACCTCACCCAGCATCAGGAGACCACGTCCATCAAGTCCCTGTGACGGCAACAGAGGATCTTACCAGTCCACGGCCTCGGAGGATCAGAGGATCTTACCAGTCCACGGCCTCGACAGGTTCGATCCTCTGGACCACAGCAGATGAACAAACAAGAGCAGCAGTTTTGGAGATTACCAGTCATCACAATCTGACCCTCGTCAAACTTGATCAAATCCCTTTACTTACTCCTTTTTTCTGCTTGAAACAAAATAAAAATTGTGATGAATAAATGTCCACTAACAGATGTCGTGGCCTAGCAGTAAGAAGACCGGACTCGTATTCAGGTAATCGCAGGTTCAGGTTCATGTTCTGTCTAAGAAACGGTCACCGCTGCCCAGGTGATAAACGCAGACAATAAAGTCCATTTTGTCTGTTTGCAGTATACGTTATAATTAGTGTTATTCACTCCCCCTCCCTCAGCTGACCACTGCCCCCTACAGGTATATGTTCAATTAGACCCACAACAGACTAAGAGCTTGGAGCCTGATTCACGATGAAGAGGGATTTATTGGTAGTCATGAACCAATCTCACAACATCAGCACCTACTGTACTGTCAGACGGGCCAGAACCACAAGGATCGATGAGCACCTCACTGATCCAAACTCAGGGAGCGTCTTCTGTACTGGATGTTCAGGACCAGTCAAAAGGTTCTCAGACAGATCGTATTATTTCTAAATGTGTCTGATTTTAAAAACCAAATGATGTTCAGACAGGTTTTAATTCATCCTTCAGGTCTTTCAGTTGATTCTCATTGTCGTCCGTTGACATTTCCACAGATAGTGGATAAATCTACTCTTCTGTGTGTACGCTGCGACAAGGACAGGAGGCTAATTCAATACTACGGTCCAGCTACGGTTGTGTTTCTCAACTTAATCGTCCATGTAATCTCAGTGATTGTCTCTGCAGTCCTCAATCACGGCTGACCGGCGGTCTTTCCTGGCCGCCTTTGATGACTCAGGCCCAACTAATCAATCAAGAGAATCCAAAGTAATTGGTAGCCGTACATTTTACCTTAATGAATGTCTATCGTGCTCAACATTACACTTCTTTAATTACAGCAGCGGAGGAAAAAGGTAGAACTTAAAGGAACAGACAACATATAAACCCTTCTACCTCCTCTATCTCTGCCCAGCTCCATGGTTCCCTCCGGCCTCCTCTCACTTTTCTTCTCTTCTATCTTTCGTTCTATTCTTTTCCTTAAAGGCCATATTGATTATATTCAGTACATTTGAATCCCAGCCTGGGAAAAACACAGTCTGAGAGCCGTCCCCCCGGTGTCTTCCATCCAAACTGTTCAGCTAAGCTTGACTGCTTTCACATTAACACAGCAGACTCACATCAACATATTTTAGGAACATTATGACATTGGGAAATATTTCACCGCGTAAAATTGTTGATTTCTCTGATGTCATTCAGTGCCGTACCCTCAGGTGACTTCACACCACGCTGGTTTCCTCCTGCCTGGGTTAAATCCACATTATCATAAAAGTATAAACACCACTGTGGTTGCTCTGAAGAGACCTTTAATCTACTCATTTACTGTCCTTTTTGTATCAGAGGATCAGGTTCTCTACTCCGGTCCAATAAGCACCAATGCTGAAATAATTTTTGTCAACCCATCCTGATGTTCAGATGCTGTTTTAATGACCAGCTTTTCCACAAGACAAATTCTGAATAATTCAAGTGGATGTGTTCAATAAAATGTTGATTTCTCTGCTGGATTAAAAAAACTCTTGTTCATCCAGCCACACTGCTGCCCCCTAGTGTGATGACTTTACACACATTCGCCTTAATCCACAACAAATCCAACAAGTCAACTTGTTTTCTGGTAACATTTCCAATTTCATCCAGCGGCGGCTACACATTCTTGACATTTTACTATGTTTTTATTGATATAGTTGTTTGTCTTTGCTGCACAGACCCATATGTCACAGTGACAGTTCAGAAAGTACTGCAGGAACGATCGTATCGATACGTAGAAAAAACAAGGGGGAAAAAACAACTCGAGGCGTGAGAGAAAAGCTGCAGATTTGTTGGTGTGCTGCTGACAGCACTACGGTGTTTTGTGGTCTTCTGATAATGCAGTTGAAATAGTATTTGTACTGTAGTGGAGACAAGTACGGGTAATGAACAACACAAAAGCAGAGACCTGTAAGTACGGGTAATGAACAACACAAAAGCACTTTGTCTACTCTGTTAAACAGCAGCCGCAGATTAGATTTTTTAAAATCAAACATTAGAAATAACTTAAATGTTTCTTTAACTTTTCTGTCTTACAAAAGATAAATATGACTGTGACGGCCATGTAATCCTAAACATTTTCTGCAGCACCCCCTGTGGTGGAAAGGGGACCTGCCCCGTACTTTAAGCACACCTATACTAGTCAACACGTCACTGGCTCTGAACGTCACCTCATCTACTGTGGGATGGTCACACCTGTTCCACGACCATCTTAGCTAATATTAGCTCGGAAAAAACCTTTTCCAAAAAAACTGAAAACCCAAATGGCCAGACTCTTCTTCAACATTTTACTTTTCTTTATATTATTAATCAAAGTTGAAAAGTTAAAGTCCCTAGCGTTAATTTTTCATATACTATTGTTCTTATTTTCCTTCCATCTTGCTGAATCATCTCTCTCTATCATCCATACTCCCCTCTCAACTTTCCATCCACCTGTGCTTGACTGCACCCTTCTCCCCATTTCTGCCTCTCCTATTCCTCTCTATTTCACCTCCCCTCCTTCTTTTCCTCCTGTCCTCCTTCTGATTATCTCCTGATGTCTCTCTGAGCTCCGTCGCTGATAGAGAGCATGCCTGGTTGACATGCCTGGTAATGAGGCTCCTGACACAGATGGTCTCTCCCGCCCCCTTCTACTCACTTTTGCTTTTTCACTCCCTCTGTCTCTCTCTCTCACACACACAAACACACACACATCCATCCTGATTGCAGCCCCCCTCACCCATTCTCTCTCTCTCCATCCTCTCCTCTGCAGGGGTCCAGAGAACTCCTGTGTTAAACAGTAACTGGAGATGTTTGGAGGAGGCTGCAAATAAAAAACATGGCCGACACCAGATTTGTCTCATTTTTCAAACAGCCCCAAACACCTAACCAAAGCTCTGCAGAGACACACACAAGTAAACAAACTCTCACATCATAAAACAGTTTTTTTTTTCGTTCACTTTGTCACAAAATAGGACAACTGGCCTTGTCGAATATTTTTTTCTTGTATATTCTGACTATTTTGCTGGGTGCCATATTGATTTCACCCCTTCTGTCAGTCCATCATCTCTGTCGAGGTCTCTTTCGCTCATTTTTCACTGTTGACTATGTCATGGCCTCAACACTCAGCACAGCACATAATTAATCTTCCACAGCATCACAAATCATCAAGTTAAAGAGTCTAACATAAACCAGCTTGGGCTGTGAAAGACCGCCTGACCTCGAATAAATAGGAGAAAAATCATATTTTCTCCTGTTTGCCCTGAAGGCATCCAGACATGCAGATTGATGTGGTTTTAATTGTCTGGTTTTCTGAGACATTCATCTAAGACTGTCTGCAAAACAGTACAAGAGGGATTACATGGATGTTGTTTGTGGTGCTCTCAGCTTTGAGAAAAATACTGGAGGAAATCAATACATCTTTACCAGAATTCAACAACACGTGCTGTGGAAATCACACCAGAATTACAGCAGCTAGTATTTTTATATGCAAAAAACCAGAGGGCTGAAAGTAGGATCTATACAGGTTTGTTAAACTGTTCCATGTACTAGACCAATGTATAACATTTGGTCTAATCAGAGGTAAAGCCACGTTAGTCAAAAAATAATTAACAAAACATAACTAAATGTTTTCCAGGAAACATGGACAGAGCTGGAAATGATTGAACTGTCCATCCATCCATTTTCATCCGCTTATCCGTTACCGGGTCGCGGGGGCAGCAGTTGCCACCCAAATCACATTGCACCATACCAAACCTTCCTGCGGGTGGTGAGTCCACTGGAAGGTACCAACCGCCTTAACCGGGATTCGAACTTGCCCAGGAGGTGAACCCTGGGGTTCCACACCAATGACAGAGACATTGCCTCTGGGCCAAAGCGCCACTATGATTGAACTGTTCTTTCATAATTCTTTGGAGCAAACATAGACTCAACCCATTAAAAATGTTGTGTAACATATTCAAATAGTCATATAAAAATGAATATTTAAAAGCAATAAACACAACAGTTGGAAACGTCATCCATGTGCATTAGTAACTGTGTTGTTGCTGACACTGAGAGTAAAACTAACTTTAAAGAATAATAATAATAATAATAATAATAATAATAATAATAATAATAATAATAATAAAGTAAACATCTGCATCTGTGATCGATTATCTTCGTTAGTACAAGGGCAGCCTGCAGACAATCCCAGTGTTTTCCAGATTAGCTGTGTGTCCACTTCGGTGTGTCGGGGACTCACCTCTCTGCTGAGCACAGCACAGCTGCAAAAGCATCGCGGTACAAAGCGAGAGCAACGGCCGCTTCATCTCTGCGGCAGCCTGGAGCCTGAAGCCTGGAAATCTGGAGCCTGGAGTCCGGGTCCTGCAGCGCAGTTTGAAGTGAATGCCGAAACTTTCCCAGGAGTTGACCCCGAACTCTCTCCATGTGGATACTCCTCCTTCCTTCTCCCCTTTCTCCCCTTCTCTCCCTCCTCCTCCTCTTCTTCTTCTGCTGTCCTAAGTCAAACTTAAAGCACTGAATTCATAAAAAGGAAGGAAGGAAAAAGGTCTCAAACGTGTATTTTATTTTACGTTTAAAAAAATATCAAATATATTTACCAGTGGCGTGTTGTGTCTCGCCGGGGCCTGTAGTGGCGTCCTGCCTGAGTAAATATATATATTAATGACGTAATTTTGTCTATAAAGAGTAGTGAAGGTGTCTATGAAGATTCTCAGTCGTCCAAGTCATGGTCAAGTTTGAAAAGTTCTTTTCAAACTCCTTAGCTCCTTAGCTAACTCATGTAGCCACAATAACGCCATTACTAAAGCTACTAGCTAACGAAGCAGAATACAGCCACTGCTTTGATATGACGTACATAAAAAAGAGTCAATAATACAATTACAATATCATTAAAAAAACACATTTTACTCACCAAAACTTCCGGTCAGTTGTACATAAACACCTTCCTCTTCTCTTTCCTTATGGATTGCTCTGTCCTGTCGTGTTTGTGACGTACATTCTTTTTAGCTAAGAATGTCTCAACAACAGCGCTGGACATTTTTTTTGTTTTAAATTTTCGTTAGATTTCGTTTGGTAGATTCGATAATATTCTTTGACGTCCAATCAAATCACTCAAATCGCCAACGTAACTCTGGGCGAGCTAGAGGGCCATGTTTAAAGTCAACTCAAAATCTGATTGGTTAAAGACATGTTGCTCTCGCTCTCGTTGCTATTCTGTTTCCGAAGACTTTAGGGCAGATTTCTTTCAATGTAGGAACACAAGAAGCTGAAATATGATTGGATAAAAAAACTCCAAGTGAAAAGCCGAGAGCGAGAGCAAAAATTATCATTTACTGCACTTTTATCAAGTAATTTATAAAAAGCAACGTGAGGCACAATAAATAAAATCTACAAAATATAAACAGGAATAAATATAAATAAATATAAAGGACCAACAAAAACCATGGACAATAATAAAAAAAATGCCTCGATTGAAACGGGTCAATAAAACTACTGCAGAAAAAAGTTGAAAGTAAAGTCAAATATTTAAAGAAATATCATATTTTAACTAAATACAACTGCCATTGTTCTTTTAGGTCAAACGTCATGGAATAAAAGTATGTTTTTATGAAAGAATTACAACCAATTTTTCCAAAGTTCCAGAACTGGAACTAAAAAGAAGCCTGTTACATATATCCAGAATAATGCTTAGCTTCTTCTTAAAGGTATTATTATCCAAAGATGTAACAAATGACATTTGGTGATCCAAAATTCCTGAAATAAAATGGAGGAAATAAACAATGTAAAGTATAGAAAAGTAAAAAAACAAATAAACAGAAAACGTGACCAGGAGTGGACACAAAAATTTAAGGTCCTCCCAATTTCATGCACCTCTGTTCTATGGCTCCTCCTGGTGCCCTGCACTGCTCACCACAGTCTGGGGCAGAAGATGTGGGGAGAAAAAAAACAGCACATGCATGAGTAGGAATTAACTATATTCATTTATTTTTTTGCGCAGTATAAATGAAAGATTTATAAAGTTTCATAAAGTTTTTTTTTCCCACTGCATTAACTTTTCACTGCAGGTCATTATGTCTGTTCATATCTGTTTACTCCGTCACTCTTCCCATCACATTATAAATTTACAGTTGAGCAGCTTGTCAATCACCTCACACACACCTTCGTGTGTGTTGGACCTCTGCCACTGTTGGTTCTCTGCAGCATGAAGTTTGTCCATTTTTTTTTTTTTTTTGCTGGTCCAGAGTCTGTGGAGCTTCTGTAGAGCTCCAGACCTCCAGAGACTCTGTGGCTGAACATGGAGTCTCCTCCTCTGGCTCAAACTGTGAGGCCGCCCTGGACTTCTGCTGGTTCTCTCTGGGACTGGATGGTGTCGAGGTTTCACCAGAAGTGGACTACAAGGTGAGGGAGACAAGGATATGGTACATACATACAATTTACTCTTTTGCAAAAAAATTTAAACATAATAACTGGAAATGTATTTGCTGATTTCTTGGCCGTAGGTTCTTTCATAATGATGAGGAGATGCTGGTTCTGACCCACAGCGATGAGCTAAACAGAACCTACGGCGGTGAGAACGGTGGTCCACCTGTGACTGAGCCCGACAGTACCAGTGAGAGACAAGGACCAGTTTCTGACATGACAGGATGCAGCTCCTGGTCCACTGGTTTCAAAGAAACCAGATCTACCCTGGTCTGCACCGGAGCCAGAACCATCACTCTGACCTCTGCAGTATCCACTACAGACTGGGTGAAAAGTACCACCAGTCGCCTGGAAGAAATGAAATATTCTGATGTCCACCTGCAGAAGATGAGCGGCGGCACCGAGGAACAGAGCGGCTTCGACCAGAGCAGAGGAAACAGGGACAGAAGAGAGAACACAGAAGGACAGGAACCATCAGACGGAACCGTTCATTTCTCAGAGTCACGTGGAGACGGTGGGAAAGGAGGGACCATTTCTGTTGATCCAAGTCTTCGCCCCACCATCACTGCCTGGGAGGCTGGCTGGAATGTGACTAATGCCATACAGGTACACGTGTACATGTAAACATGCATGGTCAAAAATCAAAAATCACCACCCAACAGTGATGAACACAAAATATAAAACGTAAAAAGTATAAAATGTTCAAGCTGATTCTCTCTGGGTTTTTTTATTATTATTATTATTTTCGTCAGCAGCAGCCCTCACTCTGGTCTTGTAGGCAGTTTGTCACACTGACTAAATGACTGACTCTCTTGGTCTTTATTTATAATCAACCCAGATGCAAATCAAGGCTCCTGGTCACAGTGTGTTCTCACAGCAGTCATTTCTAATGGCTTATTATGCTGTAAAATTCCGGGTCGTATTCAAGCGCTGCGCTCATGTAAATGTGTTCTTTCACTGCATAACTGCAGTGTAATTGAACAGCCTCACCGCGTCCGTGGAGAACGCATAATGATATTACGGTGTCAATACAATACACACACACACACACACACATACACTGGTAAACGAAGATGCTCACACACTCGTCCCTGCAGGAAATGAGGTGTATATTTGTGCAGTGCTGTCGGCGTCAGATGGCTGTGAGCATGCAGATGTTTAATCAGAGCCACGGCCGCTGTCAGTCCATAAATACATGTATGAACACACCACGTTTAGCACACAAACTAATGTTGGTTTTTGGTTTATTTATGGACGAGGCCAGGGCTTCACCCCCCCCCCAAACCCCAACCACCACCACCAGAAACCAAACAAAGCAGATACGTGAATGAAAATGAATGTAGAATTTTATTTTGTGTAACCACAGCGCTTAAATACTCAATAAATCTGGAAGAATTTGCCACTGCTTGCAACAAATTCAACAAGAGGTTAGGGCAGCATTAGGGCAGAAGCAGGGAAATTAAATATCAATTTCAATATTTTCTAAATCAATTTTTTCTTAATTGCAAAACTACATTTATTTACAGCATTTTAAATGAAGTTCATTGATGTTTTAAAGCAGGCGTGTCAAACTCATTTTCACTGGGGGACACATCAGCAACACAGTTCCCCTTGAAGGGGCCGGTTGTAAATGGAAGACTGTATAGATCAGGGATTCCCAACCCCCCGGTCCTCGGACCAGTGGGACACAGTGAAAAAAATGTACTTAATTTTTACTAATTTACTTCATTCAAAGAAAGTCCAGTTATATCCATTTACTTTCTTTATTCAAAGATAATCCCGCATTAATTGACTTGACTATTAAAGATGCTCATACGCTAAATGATTAAAGTGTTTGTTGTAACTCAGACACTGTGACGACCACACAGGAGATACAAAAGACTCAAACAAGTCTCTGATGTGTATTAGACTCCAGCAGTCTTAGTCAAGGGGATAACAGATGCTTCAATAATGAAAAGATCAGCACTTTTTATCTTCTGAAGGAGGAAACCTGTGTTTTCCACCAGTTCTTTATTGATGCCAATACAACTGAGTGTCTGCCAAGTTAATCAAGTTTTTATTAGAGAGGAAAAAAATTTTTTTTTTCTACCACAAATGCAAATATCAGCTCCCTCAGTGAGGGGAGTGTTATGAAAGTTTGATTTCCAACCTGGTTATTGATGAAGCCGCTCCACTTTGTGTGTTTTCTCCTCAGATGTTCTCAGCACTGAGAAGCAAGAAAAGAAACTGCAGTTCAAGTGTTTATTGGAGAAGTTTGTTTGTTTTAAATGTGACCTTGGGTCAAACAAGGGGATTTACAAATGAAAAGGAGTCAAGAAATTTGTACTTCACCGCATGTCTATATCCCAATTTAAATTTGAAGTTATATTTAATATCGAATAATAAACAATTAACAATTATCACAGTTAATTAGGATTTATTGTGATTACCCTCTAATCAATCAAATTAAAAACTAAATATTTTGCTGCCCTATATATATCATTATTATTATAATAATCAATAATCTTACGTCTGTAAATGACTTGAGGAAAGGAAACCCAACGTAGAAACGTATCAAGTCTGGAAAATAAAATGCATTTTGAGTTGTTTAAATGTCAAACCAGTCCATTTTCTAATCCCCGCCTGCTGCCAAGAGACATTTCTCCATCACCGTCCGTGCACAGTGTGTGCGTACTTGCATTAAACATTCCGTCTGACCTGGAGGGCAGTGGTTTAAATCCTGCTCCTGCAAAGTCCGAGGAGGAGCGGTGAATATGTAACGATTATTCACAGAGAAACCAAAGCAGCTTTGGCCGCTGATATAATATTGGTAAGGAAGTTTTAAAAAAAGACAGAAGCTAAAGTACATGGTCAATATGGGCAGAATCAGAGGGATTTAAAGGTGGCTCAGGGGTCAAACTGTGGGAGATACAGGGGCTGAAGGAAATCATCTTTTTTATCCTCCTCCTTCAAAGTCAATCGAGGATCTCATTCCTCCTCCTCCTTGTTGAGCCCGTTGTGATTGGGAGCCGTTTCAGGTTGTGCTCGGAGTAACCAATGAGGAATTAGCTGGCAGCGGTTCAAAGAAAAGGAGGAGGAGAGCGAGGGGGAACGGGAGGAGATGAAATTCGATACTTGAGCGTCAGATTCCTCTCAGACCGCTTTCATCCTCAGCAGATCCATTTGAACATCAAAGCTCCAGCAGCAGATGCCTAACGCAGACCAGTTACAGACTACAGCAGCTCCGAGAGGATGTGTGTTTGTTTGTGTGTTTGTGTCTGTGATCTGCTTCCATCAGCCAGTCTCTGTGTGTCCGTGTTACAACATCCAAAACACAGCGGCTTTATCAAAGAGGCCGTTGTCTCATCTGATCTCCTCCAACCTCCTGATCTCCATCCATCAGGTCCCACTGCTTCCTTCTCCTGTTTCCCTTTCTCCTACTTGTTTCCTCTCCTCTCCTCTCAGTCCGTCTCCCTGGCACCCCACTCTCTTCCTCCTCCTTCTTGGTCTCTCCAGGCACCAAGCCTAAAGTTTCCTCCTCTCCAGCCAACCAAAATTGCTTATTTATCCCAAAAAAAAGTAGGGGAGAAAAAGAAAAGTGGCCTCCTCACCAGCCAACCAAAATTGCTTCTTTATCCCAAAAAAAAAGTAGGGGAGAAAAAGAAAAGAAAAGGATTATAAATAATGCTGTGTTTTGATCAGGGCATTTATTTTAATCTCCCTGTCATTTTCTACTGCACTCTTCCATTAGCAGGTACTTGGTAATGGACAAAGTTATTTGTATATATATATATAAGTTGTTATATTTTTTCACTCATTTTGATAATTTGATCAGAGGAAGCAGATATTTTTTCACTTATTTTGATAATTTGATCAGAGGAAGCAGACACAGCAGACGGTTCACTGATGGAGAGCCACTGTCTCTGTGTGGTGACTTCTTACCTCCGTGTCTTTTCTGTTCCCTCTCAGGGCATCTTTGTGCTGGGTTTGCCATTTGCTCTGCTCCAGTCTGGTTATATGGGCCTGGTTCTGTTGGTTCTGTCGGCCTGGGTCTGTAACTACACCGGGAGGATCCTGGTCACCTGTTTGTATGAAGAAGAACCAAGGTTATTATTATTTCTTTTTTATTTCCACTGGGTGACACTTCATTTCCAGCGACAGTGTTACGGATGTAGCTCAGCCCAGCAGATTCACTCTCCATTATCAGGACAGAGTTGTTATCAGACTCTGTCGTTGTCACACTTTTCCACTGCACTCCCCAAAGAGGATGGAATTTTATGCAAGAATGACCAGCGCACGTGACAGCACTGTCGTATCTCATCTCTCTTTCATCTGTTTTCTGCAGACACTTGGCAGGGATTGGAATTTTAGTCACATCACAGCACAGTTTTAAAACCAAACTTCATTTCAAAAAGGAACAACTGGGCGATAAAACCAGACTCCAAAGAGGCTTATGGTAAAAAAAAAAAAAGAAAAAAAAGAAAAAAACTGAACAAGGATTTTTGAGCCTGTTGAAGAAAATGTAACTGAAAAGAAGATAACCAAAGCTTAACAAAAGCAGAAAAATTAGCCTTGAAATTACCCTTTAAATTACCTAAATGAAAAATGAACAATGAGAAACATAATTTAAAATTGGCTTTTAAGAAAGGCGTATGTGTGCAGGAGTTGGAACAACACTGGCAAAACTAAAAGCAACAAAAAGATTTAAATGTAAAAAAACAAAAACAACCTCTAATTAATTCTTCAAAAACATTTATTAACTTTACTAAAAAGTCCTGACGAAGCTCACGTATCCTTGACAGAAGCGGGAAGATGATAAAATGCAAATGTTTGTAGTAACGTCTTCTCATCTTTCAGTGGGATGTCTAAAGTCAGAGTCCGACAGAGCTACCAGGACATAGTGGAGGCCTGCTGCAAAGGATTCTGGTCCAGTTGGTCAGGAGTGGCGGGCTGTGTGGTCAATGTTGCTCAGGTAGTGTAGAACCAGCCACCACTCTCAGGTGAATTCTTTATTTCACATCTGGTGGAAAGCCTTAAGGCCTCCATAACAAAAATAAATAACCCTTTTTTTTTTTTTTTTTTTTTTTTGAGCAACCTGAAATATTGTGGATTGCTTTTTTTTCCCCCACAGCATCTGTTTTTATCAGTACAGTTCAGGGTTTTCACCAGGATTGCAACGGAAACCTGTGGAATTGCATCATTTCTTTTGGATCATTACATAAAGAAAATATGATTCTGTTACCAAATCCCAGACCACATCAAGTCTGGAATCTTCCAATATTATTTATGACTGAAGATTTGTAGTAAAGAGAAGAAAAAAGAAAAAGAAAAGGTCAAAAAGTCTTTTATTTCACATAATAAAAATAAACATAAAAACTGTTGTTCTCCTTCTTGCTGTTTCTCTTTTTGTCTTTTGGAAACATTTTTTCTTTTTTCTCTCAGGTGATGGAGCTGTTGATGACGTGCACCCTCTACCTGGTCGTCTCCACCAGTCTGATGTCTGACTGTCTGTCAGGGACTGCTGTCCCCAGATCAGTATGCTCTCTGGTGTCACTGCTGTTCCTGCTGCCCTGCCTGCTGCTCACTGATCTCAGACCAGTCTCTGTTCTCAGCCTCTTCTGCTCACTGGCCCACATCCTGATCAGGTCTGAGGATAAAGTCATAAACAACAGATCATTATTCAGTAATTTGGACTCATTTGTCTCCTTGTTTTCCTCTGCTCAGCCTGATGGTCATGCTGTACTGTCTCAGTCGCTCCAGCACCTGGTCCTGGTTCACTCTGTCTCTGTCTGTGGACCCAGAGAAGTTCCTGGTCTCTGTGGGCGTCATCATCTTCTCGTACACCTCTCAGATCTTCTTGGCTCCTCTAGAGGGCAGTATGGAAGACAGGGGGCAGTTCAATGCAATGTTAGCCTGGACTCACGGAGCTGCCTGTGTAATGAAGACCATGTTTTCTTTACTGGTCAGTGATTTATTTTCTCAGTATCTCGTCCCAGTCCCAGTTGATTATTGATGTTTCGATTATTCAATAGATATATATACATTTATCTCAAAATAATGATTTTAGAGGGTATTTTATCAGATGACAGCCCCCAAATTCTAAAATAGTTTTGAATAAAAAGTCATTTAAAATAAAAGAGAGACAACTATGACTTGGAGTTTCTACTTTTAAACTAATTAGAGCAGAGAGAGAGCAGAACGAGGACGGGAGGAAACGAAATACCTTTGATTGATGGTCTGACTCCGTGGGTTGTTTTTCTTTCATTAGGCCGTGTTGACCTGGGGTCCAGAGACCAGTGAAGTCATCACAGATAACCTGCCCTTTGACCTTCGACCTCTGGTCAATCTGTGTCTGTTGGCCAAAGCCCTGCTCTCCTACCCTCTGCCGTTCTACTCTGCTGCTGAAATCCTACAGTCCTGGCTGTTGACAGGTGAACAAACCTGATGATGACGCTTCGACTGTTGTCTCCCACATTTTGCACATTTTGACATTTGTCAACGTTTGTGGGTCATGGGAACTAATACGTAAGTTGACTGTCAACACACGTGTCACCATTGTTTGCACTTGTTGACAGTCATCAAACATCATCAGGTGTTGTATAAATGGTGATCAGGTTGTTTTACTGTTCAACATTAAAAACACCCGCTCCCTCCAGGCTACTGTCAACCTCCTTGCACCTCCTTCTCCTCATTTCTACGTCCAGACCCCGCTGCCCTGCGATACTCCAAACACAGGAGTGGAGGCGTGTCCTGCTCAGCTCTGCTGGTCCGTGGCGCCTTACTGACGACATCCCTCCTGGTCCCCAGGTTCTCCTTGTTGATGGGTTTGACAGGCAGCGTGACAGGGTCAGCCATGACTCTCATTCTGCCCTGCCTGTTTCACCTCAGACTTCACTGGGGTCGCCTCACTTTGAGGGACCGGCTGATTGATGTTGGTATACTGAGTCTGGGGGTCGTCTGCAGTCTGTCTGGTGTGATCTGCTCGGTGAAAAGACTAGTAGAGAGGTTGTAGGAGAGAAAGAAGAAAGAGTGAGAACGGGTCAATATGGAAGAGCAACCAGCATCAAATGAATAAATGTAAGCTGATAAATAGATAAAAGACAAGAACAACAACCAGCATCAAATGAATAAATGTAGGCTGATAAATAGATAAAAGACAAGAACAAACATTGGTTCAAAAATAAAAATACACAACAACTCTATAGACGTTCTGACATCACAGGTGGGTAGACAAAAGAATCATCACCTAAAATATTAAAAGTATTTCCCTTCTGACTATGACTGAGAAAAAATGGCAAAAAAACAAAAACAAAAACACATTTGCATTTTACATTTTTTATATCATTATTTTTCTTTCAATTCCTGACAAGAATCTGGGACTCATGACCTAAGTAGACTTTATTTGACAAATCACCTGTGGTTTATTTTTTTTGGTGGCATTCTTTATGAGTTAGGTTGTAAATAATATTTAAAAAGGAACTAGGAACTGAACCTGAAAAAAAAAAAAAAAATTAAACTTTGTTCCACCCGGCCTGTGTTGCTGTAGTTGTAGTTAGACGAGATAATTGTGGCCCATTTATGCTGGAACAAGCTGATCTGCAACACGCCATTCTGTTTCTGTTTCCGATGATTTAACGTGTAAGTGAGCATTTTTGTGCAGTGCAGAACGAAGATTAAAAATGCAGCCTGTTCTTTGTTGTAAATGCACGAGTTTAATCTTGGCGTTGAAACGTGATGTAATTAGCCCCCTGGGGAAATAAAACATTATAACTCGGAATGATCTGGTTCTTTCAGCTGGAAAGGATTGACTGATGTTTGACTTTTCTCCTGTCAGACTCTCTCTCTCTCTCTCTCTCTCTCTCTCTCTCTCTCTTTCTGTGTTTGTCTGTGCTCTAAATGACTCCCATTATAACAGCTGGACTGAATGGTATCATAATGACCCTGTATGTTTCATTTATTCCCACCAGGCGGTGCATTACCTTACTGCCCACCAGGGGGCTAGTTTTGGAGTTCTGTTTTGGATAGTCTGATGATAGTTATTGTCTGCTAACATTGTGTTTGAGGACATGTGAGCAGGCGTGGACAAACTGTTCCACAAACTGTTCCACAAACTGTTCTAAATCTTAGAAAACCGCGCTCCTTAAATGCCTGGTTATGCGTACAGCGGTCATTAATACAAACAGAATGGGCTCATTTGAATATTATGTATAGCGTTTTATAGTATACATTACTTTCATGTTGCAGCTGGTAATTGTGGGGCTCAGTTTTAATCACCTTACAGATTTAATTACTGTTTTACTAGATTTAATTACCGGGATCTATAAACTTTCACCTTGACTTGACTGGTTCCACAACAACGTCGCTGCTGTGTTTGGATTTTGTGCAACTGATTTTAAAAACGCAGTGTAACAACTTAATGCATTTGGTAGCAAAGTGTTCAACGCTTGATATAAAGGTAACAAGTTCCTGTGTCACTCACCTGCGTCTGGGAGACAGAATGAAGGTCAAAAAGTTCCTCCAATTTAGTGAAATCTAATCTTGAAACATGTTTCTCTGCAGGTCTGTGTGTCGTTCACTGTCACAGGTTTAACTTCTGACCCTGATCACCTTCATCTGTGTTCCACCAAATGGAGTTATATAAACCTGGACATTTACATTGTTTTGCTCTTGTGCTGTGACTACTCTCTCTCTCTCTCTCTCTCTCTCTCTCTGTGTGTGTGTGTGTGTGTGTGTTTACATTTCTAACCAGCAGGAGGATACAGTGTTCCCACAGACTCCTGACTCATCTACTGTTACATCCAAACTGCCACAGGAGAAACTGAAAACTTTCATTTCTCTCCTCCTCCTCCTCCTCTTCTCCAACTCTTTTTTTTTCTTTCTTTTTTTTAAATTTTATTCTGTTGACCTTCTTTACCTCATTTGTGATTCACTCTCTCTCTCTCTCTCTCTCTTCCTTTTAGCGTTAGTTTATCTTGTTCCTACTCGTTTTTCTTTCATGCAGTTTTATTCAGCGGTACAGTGTGAAAAATGAAACCATTTTATTCACCTCCAAAGTTATTTTACTTTTTGTTATAGTCTAAATACTCAGTCTGTGTTCATGGTAAAATGTAAACAAATCTGTAAAAGTACTGCCAGTACAGCTGGAACCATGTATTGTTTATGATGAATAAATGGTGGGAGACTATGAACAATCAGTGAAGTAATTAATCATCATTCATCACATTTATAAAACCCAATAATAACATTGTGAAAATAAGCAGTTATAAAGTTTTAGTCCTTAAATTAAAATTTTTATTGTTATAATTTTATCTCCGTGAATTAAAAAAAAAAGTTCTGTCAACAGTGTTGCCACATAGAATCTAAATCTAAATAAAAATATTTGTAATTCTCTTAGACCAAACTGACCCGATGTCACTCTGACTTAACAATCCGTGCGACAGCTGTGACTCTCCACGGAGGGAAACACTGCAGTCGTGACTCGATGGTCAAACTCCAACTTAATCAAATTCCATAACTGTCTCAGAGTTAGGGTCGCTCTGGCCTCAAATTGTTGCATGACTGGACTTCGGAAGTAGACGGAGGCTGCACCTGTGCCTGCTAAATCTTCCTGCGACGGGAAAAGTATTTATAGTGGCCACACTTCCTGTGGAAAACAACATAAAAATGCACCTACTGAGACACAGGCAGGGATGAAATGCATGTAACTCTATCCCCCAGGCAGCTGAGACATTGTCAGGGACAGGGTGGGGGTCCACACTTATTCCAACAGTGGACAAATTTGATAACGTAAAAATACCCCGGGGGCCGACTGGGAGACTCATGGGAGACTATATTTAAATGGGAGACAAAGGCGTCACATTTTCTCATGCACAACAAATGCTCTTCGTTTGGAATAAATTACAGCGAGGCCCTCCGTCAGTTTTACAAAATCTTCTCCAAATAAGACATGACAGGAAATCAAAAAAAATTAAGCCAAGAACAAGTTTGATCATATTAGAAATGAACAAAGTCAAAGCGGAATATTGGGCTGAATTAGATCAAATAACAAAAACGAATGAAAAGATGAAAACGAAAGGTACAATTAAGGAAAAAGATGCAAGAGAAAAAGGAAAGAGTTCCTCAAAAAAAAGTTAGTTCCTGACTGTGTACGTGTGGGTTTCCTCTGGTCTCCCTCCAACCTGGTCGACGTTAAGTCTGTGTCACCTGAGTTTGAACGGTTGTTCTGTCTTTGCTCGGACCTGGGATGGGCTGCAGAACTTTTCTGAGTACACTCAGAACCTCGACTGCCCCCCGGACCCTCCCCATCTCTCAGCCTGGGTGCAGAAGGCTGGGTGACCTCCAGGTCTATTGATTTATCAGGGAGAACGCCTCTAATATCTTGGAATCGGTCATCGCTGCAGCCGTACCAAAAACAACGTTCACCGTACCTGCACCGGTGTTTTCCTGTGATGAATGAGACTATTTCAGTGCTGGACTGTTGCCATAGTTTGTTTTATTAGATTTAGGAGCCTAACAGTGGAGACATTTTTAAGGAGAAACATTAGAACTGCATTTTATTTCTCTAAAAAAATCCTTTTCTTCACTCCTCGTATTCCACAACTGGAATATTTTCAGACCTCATTGACGCTGAGTTGGGGTCCTGCCGTGTCATCGGGGGTCACTCTTCCAGTCAGTCCCACTGGAGCCAATTACACATCAGACGTATGGAGCAGCTGGAGTGTAGGCTGCACGGACTGAAAGGTGCCAACGTCTGACACATGCCCCTCCAGACTACAGTGTTGCCCCAGGTGGGCCACTTTAAAACCCTGGTGGAAGTGATACTGACGCTGCTGGGAAATACATGTCAACAAATGAGGTCGCAATGAACCAAACAAGAGCTAACTACGCTAAGCTAAGTTCGCTAAGCTCGGGCTACAACAAACCAGATCAACTCAGTAGTTCTGCTATGGAACTTGCTTTGTAAAGACTTGTGTTCTTCAGCAGTTAAAAGAGAATGTAGACTCCCCCTGGTGGCAGAAATTCAACTTATAGAATTCAGCGTGACTAGTGACTAGTTATGAGAGAATTGTTAATCACCTCAGTAACAAAACCATCATCAAACTGTTGTGTTTTTTTTTTTAAATAATGGACAAAGGACTTTAGTCTTTTTAATTAGCACCACCTAGAGGACAGGGAAAGGGAGGCAGGTGTTTAGTGTTGACCAACAGACCAAACCACACAGACGTCCTATAACTTCCTCTGAGGGGAACTCAACTTAGACAGCGACACGTGGTATTTGTTCAAATGGTGTCAGCTAACTAGCTCCAGAGGCTACGTGAGGTAGCACTGCCGTTATAGCCCAACCTTATCTGCACTAAAGCTTTTCAAGACCATTTCACCTTCCTGACAGAAGCGAATCAGGGTTTTCTTCTTTTTTTTTTTTTGCAGGAACTGAAAG